TGAGGCGCCTCCTGCACGGTGTGCCCGTTCCAGGATCACGGATCTGGGAATTCCAACCACGTGAGCAGACCCTTCCCGGCAGCCCCCGGCGTGGGGCTTGACTGTTCACCAGAAGGTGTGCGTGTGCGGAGGGGACCCCAGGAGTGGGTCAGCCTACTGTCCACCACACCAGGTTGTTAAGATTAAAACAAGGCCGGCGCCGCGACTCACTAGGCTAATCCTCCACCTTGCGGCGCCGGCACACCGGGTTCTAGTCCAGGTTGGGGCGCCGGATTCTGTCCCGGTTGCCCCTCTTCCAGGCCAGCTCTCTGCTGTGGCCAGGGAGTGCAGTGGAGGATGGCCCAGGTGCTTGGGCCCTGCACCGCATGGGAGACCAGGAGAAGCACCTGGCTCCTGGCTCCTGCCATCGGATCAGCGCGGTGCGCCGGCCGCAGCACGCCAGCCGCGGCAGCCATTGGAGGGTGAACCAACGGCAAAGGAAGACCTTTCTCTCTGTCTCTCTCTCTCACTGTCCATTCTGCCTGTCAAAAAAAAAAAATTAAAACAAAACATCTTTCAAAAATAGGGCATAGGGTGCACAAATCAAAACAGAACAAAAGTCCGAGCAGCAGGGCTAAGGAGGTGGGGCCTGTGCCCCCACCTGCAGCGGGCAGGTCAGGCCTCATTGCGTCACAGGTCCCTGGACGAGGCGATGAGGACAGCGGTGCCCGCAGGTGGGGACTGTGGGGTTCAGGCACCCGCGGTGCAGATCGGGGACTCGGCTGGCACAGCTCCTGCATTCCTGGAAGCTCAGGTCCTTACGGCTGTCGCCAAGCCAGCTTTGCTCCGCCCGGTCATCAGGACAGCAGCGGGAATCAAAGCCCAGGGTTTTCTGCCAGAAATGCAAAGGCAAGGATTCCTATTCGTGGCCGACTTCACGGTGTCCCGAACGCAGCGCGCGCACAAGCAAATGCTGTCTCCCCGGCCCTGGCACTGGGTCTCCGTCCAGCGCTGTTGACGAATGGGGGGTTGGGGGGGGGGAGGAAACACAACCAGGGCACAGAGACCGCAGCTCCATTTGTAGCCCCCTCTATCTTTTTAAGATTTATTTACTTGAAAGGCAGAGTTACAGAGAGGCAGAGGCAGAGAGAGAGAGAGAGAGAGAGAGGTCTTCCATTTGCTGGTTCACTCCCCAGACAGCAGAAACCGCCGGAACTGCGCCGATCCGAAGCCAGGAACCCAGAGCATCTTCTGGGTCTCGCATGTGGGTGCAGGAACAAGCACTCGGGCCATCTTCCACTGCTCTCCCAGGCCACAGCAGAGAGCTGGATCGGAAGTGGAGCAGCTGGGACTCAAACCGGCCGGCACCCATGCGGATGCCAGCACTGCAGGCAGCGGCTTTACCCATGCTGCACCACAGCGCCGGCCCCCGTCTCTTTTTTAATAATTTATTTTCACTTTATCTGAAACCCCAGAGAGAAAGCGAAAGACACAGAGAAGTCTTCTATCTGCTGGTTCACACCCTGAATCCTACAGCAGGCAGGGCTGGGCCAGGCTGAAGCCAGGAGCTTTGTCTGGGCTCCCAGGCACTTGGGCCACCGCTGCCTCCCAGCGTGCGTCAGCAGGGAGCTGCCTGGGAAGTGGAGCAGCGGGACCGGAAGCAGGCTCTCTGATGTGGGATGCAGGTGTCCCTGTGGCTACAGCTGCTGCACCAAATGCCCACCTCGGGGCTTTTTTTTTTTAAATGAGAATCTCCCTCCCTCTCCCCCCCCTTCCCCCTCTGTCTTCCCCTTCCCCCCTCACACATGCAGAGCCTTTGACATTGGCAGAACTCAGGGGCAGTGATGGAGACGGACAGATGCCAAGTGCCGGTTCCCACCAGAGACCTGGTCTCAAGTCCGGGTTATGCCCACGGTGAGAACACCCTTGGAAGCACAGACACCGTTTTTGTGCGGGGTGGATCATCACGGAGCGAGGTCAGCCCAATGAGCACACACGGGGGCGGAGGGCACGCCGTGCGCTGCACCAGGGCCTCCAGCCTTGGTGGACGCAAGTGTAGAGAGGCCGCCACCTCCGTCCACCCCTCCCCCGCAGCCTCCGCCAGGCTGTCCCAGGAGAGCAGGTTTCCCTTTGTTCTGGGCGTGGGAGGACCATCAAAGGCCCCATCAGCATGACCTAACACACCATTCCTTGTCATTTACTTCTCGTTTTATGGATGAGAAGACAAGCGATGAACCCATAAAGCAACAAAGCTGGGTCAGACTCTCAGGAACCTGCGCTGTCCAGGAAATGGGATGGGTTTGAGCTTCAGCCAGGTAAAGGCGCTTCGTAACCCCGACTCTCACGAGAGAGAGAAGTCAGGATCCCATCCTCCAGGGACAAGAACCTCCCCACAGCACACAGTGGGTGACAACGCTTAACCTAACAAGGATTTCAGTGCCCTTGCTACACAGGACGCTGTCCCATGCAAGACAGGGCACAGGCGTGGGTGGAGGGAAAGGGCTGCCCACCCGCGCGCACGGGGCCCAGGGAGGGGGTGGGGGCCCTCGTGCAGCTTTGAAATGGGGAGGGCTTGGTGGCAGGCTGCTCCGTGGCTCTGACAAAGGTGTGTGCAGAGACCCGGGCCCCCACTGGTCTCAGCCCCTTCGTGCTGCCGCAGGGAAACACCACAGAGTGGGTTGTGTCCACGTGGCAGTCTCCTGTGCCCACGGGGAGGGGGGGAGGCGTGCCTGTCACAGGCTCCGGCCTGTCCCTGAGGGCAGAGCTCCCTGGCCCAAAGGTCGCCTCTTCCAAAGTCAACCTGGACTTCGGACTTTGGAGCCTGGAGCGAACTTTCCCCCCTTCCCTTTCTTCCCTGTCCTCAGGGATGGGGGCTGCAGGGGCCGAGGGGACCCTGCACAGGCCTCGCTTGGTCCCTGCGTGCGCCTCCCCGAGCAGAGATGGCCGACTTCAGACCTGCTCTGCCGCGTTTCTTCTGAGAACGGCGATTTTAGGCAAAGCGGCAGTTCCAGATTCCCTGGGTGCCAGCTGTGATCCCGTGACCTACAAGGAGACGCACTGAAGGCTGTGTGACTGTCCAGGGCAGGGCACAGAGCACCTAGGCCGCGGGCAGGGTGCCTGCCTCCCACCTCAGCGCCCAGGGCGCCAGTTCCGGCTCTGCTTCTGATCCCAGCTTCCTGCCAACGAGCACCGTGGGCATCGGCGGTGACGGCTCACGGACTTCCATTTCTGCCACTCACACAGGAGATACCGAGAGGGCTCCGGGCTCCTGGCTTAGCCTGGCCCTCCCTGGCTGCTGTGGGCATTTGGGGAGTGAACCAGAGGATGGAAGATCTCTGTCTTTGGTTTTGACTGTTTCCAATAAATTAACAAAAAGATTGTTAATATATTCTTGTTTAAGGATGAATGAACACACTGTTTTGAGTGCCCCACTTTGCGCTCCCCTGTTGCCTGGAATCTGGGTGCAATGGGGGAGGTTTTGGCAGTGATGTTGTGCCTTGAGGAGATCTTGGGGGCTGGGGTTCTGGGGCACCTGCAGCCGCTGGGTGAGACATGGGCTGTTTCTGAGCTTCTACAGAAATACTACAGACGGAGGCTGTGAAAGTTGAAGGAGCCTTCCGCCACGGCAGCGAAACGGAGGCTCGGGGCCCACGTTGTGGTGGGGGGAGGGCGGCAGCTGTTCAGCGCCCGTCAAACACAGGGAGGAGGGCCTCGGGTCATAGGCTCTGGTCCTCACCAGACGCCCGGAATCCCACCTCCCCACCAGAGCGCCCACGCTCACCATGGCGGCTCAGGCTCTAGAAGAGCGCCGTGTGGTCTGAGCACAGCGCATATCAGGACCAGGCTCAGCCCACTGCCACTGCCTCATGGTCAGGCCTCTGCAGGCTGTGCTGCCCCGCCTTGGCAGAATCTGAGCTGCACCTGCTCCCAGCTGGCCCGGGGCGTCCCACAGCCAGGGAGCACGGGGTGGGGGCCCGGGGCGTCCCACAGCCAGGGAGCACGGGGTGGGGGCCCGGGGCGTCCCACAGCCAGGGAGCACGGGGGCCCGAGGTGTCCCATCTGTGCACCCAGTGCCAGAAACCACTTCTTGCCTCCTCCCCCTGGGGGGTTGTGTCAGACGTGCCAGGCACAGGCACCCTGGAGTCACTTTCCCGAGCGCTGTGCGGCTCGCCCCTCCGTGCCCCGCGAGGCCCTCCCACTCCAGCCAGTGCACCGGTGCTGCTATTTCCAGGGGCTTCCTCAAGCAAGGGTCAGGCTGCGCGGGCAGCTGGGATGGGGAGATCAGGATCCTTCTCGGGAGCCACACGGGGGCCAGACACCAGAAGGCCTGAGGAAGCCATGGTCGCCGTCCCGGGCTCCTGGCTGGCGGCCTGGCAGCAGGTGGCCCGGAAGAGCGCGCCCAGCGCAGTGCCAGCTCCTGGGTGTGGGGCTGCTGCCACCTGGCCAGCGGCTCAGCCTCCCCGCCCTCCACCTGCCTTCCTCACTTTCCCCAGAGAGAGGAGATGAAGGCCACAGGTGGGGGTGAAGCGGGGGCACCTGCTCTGGTGTTGGACCCCCGCACCAAACGGTGCCGCCAGCTGCCTGCAGTCTGGAGCCCAGGACAGCCCCAGTGTCCTCCCTGCTGCCGATGGCCACCTGGTCTCCTCCCCACCCACACCGCCTGGCCTCACCCACTTCCTTCCTCAGTTACTTGCAGTACTCAGCCTGGGGCTCTAAAGTACCCTCCAGAGCTGTGGGAGGCGGGGCTCCTGCAGGTGCGGACTGCCCCACCCCCACCCCCACCGGACTCACCTGAGGCCCTGCAAGCCCCGCCCTGGTCCTCATGGGAGGGGCCCAGTGGTGTAGACCCCACGGGAGTGGATGCGGTCTCTCGCAACAGCCTGGGCCAACCGAGCCCCCGCGGCCCTGCGCGCGCCTCTCCCCACGCCCCCTTCCCTCCCCACGCACCCCCTCTCTCCTCCCAACATCCCCATCCCACTCCCCCCCTCCTCTCCCTCCCCACGTCCCTCCCCTCCCCTCCTCTCCCCTCCCCTCCCCTCCCCTCCCCTCTCTACGCTCCTCCCCTCCGTAGGCCCCCTCCTCACTCCCTTCCCCATTTCTGTCCCACTCCCCTCCTGTCCCCTCCCCTCCCCTCCCCGCCCCCGGCGCCCGCTCTGCGCTGCGGCTCCTGAACTGGCGGGCGCGGCCTCCAGGAGCGGCGGGCGGGACCGACCCAGCACTGCCCCCGGCCCCGGTGGCGGCGGCGCGGTCGATGGCCCGGGCGGCGGCGGCGGCGGCGGCGGCGGCGGCGGCGGCGGCGGCGGCATGCGGCTCCTGTTCCTGGCGGTGCTGCGGCGGCACACGGGCAATGCCGTCACGGCTCAGCGCGTCCGGTAGGTGCGGGCCGCGCGGGGCCCAGCATCCCGCCCGGCCGGCCGGGGACGCGGGGGCGCGGGGCCGGGGCCGCCCCCAGCCGCGCGCGCCAACGGACTGGCCCCGGCGCGGGGCCTGCGGGGAGCGCGCGAGCAGCGGCCCGGGCAGAGCGGGCGCGGGGCCTCGCTGACCACCTGGGCGCAGGTGGAGGCCGCGCACGGAGCTGCGGCAGCTGGTCTCCCGGGCCTGCCCGCGCGGTGGGCGCCCTGGCGTGTGGCCCACAAACCGGGGAGGCGGCCTGCCGGGGTGAGGTTGTGCAGCAGCCCGGGGACTCGTGGCTCCCACGGGGCCCAGCAGCCCTCCTAGAACCTTCGGGTCCCTGTCGCTACCCCCCCCCCCCGCGTTCCCTGTCGCCTGCTCCCCAGCCTAGCCTTCCTTTTCTTTAGCGACACTTGCGGTTTCCCGCAGTGACCCTGCTTTATTTGCTTGTCTGGGACACGTCCTGGCTGGCCGCACTGGCCCCCAGCAGAGGGGGTGCGGGAGGGATGCGGGGGGCATCACCTGTGCCTGAGCTTGGGGCTGCCCAGAGCCCTGCCTGCGTCCCCAGCCAACTGCCCTGCTCCGTGGCGCTCCCAGCCTGACCCTCACCGTGGGAATGAGCGGCCCAGGCTCCACTGCTCGGCCGGGTCCCTTACAGATACTTGTAAAAGGGCCCGGGAGCGGGGATGGTGGCTCTGAGGTCCCCTGGGCCCCATCAGGGGTCTCCCCACTCAGAGACCCTTAGGGGCCAGGCTGGGGCACATTCCAGGGAGGCCAGGCGTGGAGGAGGTGGGACCCAAGCACTTGGACCATCTTCTACTGCTTTCCCAGGCACATTAGCAGGGAGCTGGATCCGAAGTGGAGCAGCCGGAATTTGAACCTGCGCCCATATGGGATGCCAACTCTGCAGGTGGCAGCTTAACCTGCCATGTCCCAGTGTGGGCCCCAAACCTGGGCTGTTCATGAGAGTTGTGGATCTTGGGGACGGGACAGGAAGGGCAGGTGGGATGGTGGGAGGCATTTGCCTGCAAGAGTTGAGTGTCATGCCGTCTTCACAATGCAGAACATTCTAGATCAGCTGTTTGCAGTGGGAACAGAGGCAGAGGGTATGTGAGGAGGAAGGAGCACTCCAGGGGCCTTGGGCAGAGTCTGGAGGCCCCTCTGGTTGTCACCGCTGGAGCTGGGGTGCCGGCATGCGGTGGGTTGAGGCCAGGGATGCTTCTCCACATCCCACAGTGCACAGGGGCAGCCCCAGCAAGACAGGGCACACGGCAGGAAGGGGCCAGGCCTCTCCCACCTCTCAGCGACGGCCGGCACCCCTGCAGCAAAAGGCAGGTTCACAGGAGGGCAGCAGGGGGCTCTGACTGGCCCTCAGCTCAGGCCACGCCTCTGGGCCAGGCGAGGGCTGTCTGCAGCTCCCAGCATGGGTGGGGGGCGCTTTGTGTTTCCTCAGCCGTGGATGGCACATCTCTGGGCCAGGCGAGGGTTGTCTGCAGCTCCCGGCATGGGTGGGGGGCGCTTTGTGTCTCAGCCATGGATGGCACGCCTCTGGGCCAGGCGAGGGCTGTCTGCAGCTCCCGGAGATGGTGGCGGGCGCTTTGTGTCTCCTCGGCCATGGATGGCACGTCTCTGGGCCAGGCGAGGGCTGTCTGCAGCTCCCAGAGTCGGTGGCAGGCGCTTTGTGTCTCAGCCGTGGATGGACTGAGTTACTGTCACCCTGGGGTGCCCTGGAGGTGGGGGGTATTTGGATCCCCTGAGACTGTAAACTTTCAGCAGAAGAAACTGGTACTCCTCATCGAATTGTCCATCGAACCAGACCAGCTCCAACAGTGCCCTTCAGGGTAAAATTCAGCTTGGAGGAGTGAAAAGGTGTGGTCAGGAACGTGGAGGACAGGGTGTAATCTCACTGTGGAAGAAAAGTGCGTCGCACAGTCATGGCTGTGAACAGGGCGCAGGCGGCCTGCAGTCAGCCACGGGCCTCGTGCCGTCGTCCGTGCCGGGCACGCGGAGCAGGAGGCTGCCCCACCGGAAGCCTCGAGACTCTTTTTTTTTTCTTTCTTTTATTTATTCACTTGAAAGAGAAGGGGAGAGTCAAGTGGGTTCACTCCCCAGAAGTGAACCAGCAGCCAGGGCTGGGCCAGGCCGAAGCCAGAAGATCAAAGTCCTTGCGTGCAAGCTCAAACAACCCCCCAGGCCTGGCTGAGCGAGGGCACCTGGAGAGCAGCCGCCGCCCTCTCACTGGGGATGAGAGGAGATGACACAGCCTGTCTGCGTCAGCCTGGGTCCTTCTCTCTGCAAATGGGTGGATGATTGGTGGAGCATGCGTGCACCTTTGTTACCTTTAAAGCCAGAGAGAGAGAGAGAGAGAGAGAGAAAGAGAGAGAGGTCTTCCATTTGCTGGTGCACTCCCCGAATGGCTGCACCTGCCAGGTGCCAGGAGCTCTCTCTGGGTCTCCTATATGGGTGCAGGGGCCCAGGTACTTGGGCCGTCTTCTGCTGCTTTTCCCGGGTGTGCCGGCCGGGAGCTGGACCAGAAGTGGTGCAGCCAGGAACCAAATGGGCGCCCACAACGGATGCTGGCGCTGCAGGCAGCTGCCGTGCCTGAGACGTTGTTCTAAACGGGAGGCGACAACTCCTGGGGCTTGAATGCAGCCCCCATGGGCTTCTGTCAGCAGAGCTGTCCCGGCACCAGTGCCTGTGCCTTTCGCTGATGCATTGTGGGAGCTGCTTTCTCCTTACAAGGATGGCAGATGGAGTGGTTACACCCAGGTCCCACATGGATCCCACAAACCCACGGGTGCTTCCAGGCGAGGTCTCCTGACCCCTGCTCTAAATCAGACCTTCAGGGGCTCCTGGGTCCCTGAGCTGCAGCTTGAGGGCGGTGTCTGCAGAGCTCCCGTGGGGCGTGGGTGCCAGGAAGACTGTCACGGGGAGAGGGAGTGGGGCCGGAATCCGGGCTTCCTGAGCCCTGGGATGAACTCCGAGGGTCAGGTCCGTGTGCAGACGGGAGCGTGGGCGGCGCAGGTACTGCAGCTCAGTCGGGCGGAGCCAGGCTGTGTGCAGTGGGAGGAGGCTGTTGTCTTTTGCCCACTCAGGGACGCAGTGTGGGAAGTGTGTGTGGATGGGAAGTGACAGGTGTCGGATGTCCTGGAGCCACGCGTCCCCTGCGCCCTCCCTTCCCCGCCCAGAGGCTCTCGTTGCCAGGCTGGAGCGTGGGAGTCCTCATTTTCCCTTCGTGGGAGGGGGTGTTGTGAGTGAGCCAGGCCCCCTGCAGCACACGTCTGCTGGGCCTCTCCAACGGGCAAAGTGCCGGGCAGGTGCCGGCCAGGCACAGGTGCTCCTGCACATCAGCCCAGAGCTACAGGGAGGAAGGTTCCAGCATTTTAGCTCAGCAAGCAGACGGGAGCAACAGTTCCACAGAGCCTGGAAGGTTCTAGAATTGTGGAAGGGCCTAGAATTGTAGAGCAGTCTGCAGACATGAGCACCCAGTTCCACGGAGCCTGGAAGTTTCTAGAATTGTGCAGGAGGCAGGTATGAGCACAGATACAGAGCCTGGAACATTCTAGAATTGTAGCACAGTTCCACAGAGCCTGGAAGGTTCTAGAATTGTAGCACGGTTCCACAGAGCCTGGAAGGTTCTAGAATTGTAGCACGGTTCCACAGAGCCTGGAAGGGTCTAGAATTGTAGCACGGTTCCACAGAGCCTGGAAGGTTCTAGAATTGCAGCACGGTTCTGCAGAGCCTGGAAGGTTCCGGCATTGTAGTGCAGGAGGCAGCGGTCTTCTCACAGTGTGATGCCATGAGGCGGAGGCCTGGCCGTGTTACTGAGGGGAGGGGGCAGATCTTTCATCTGTCTGGGAAGCTGCCCTGAGAAATAAATTTTCTTTCCCATACAACTTTTTTATAGAGATATAATTCACGATCATAAAGTTCGCCCTTTGACAGAGCAATCCAGGGATTCTAGTGTATCCATAAAGTAGTGTGGCTACCACCGCTGCGGTAGAGGCAGCCTGTGCCGCGCAGGCCGCCCGCCGTGCCCTGCAGCCCCCCAGGGCCGAGCCCGAGGGAGCAGGCACAGCGCCCTCTGCTAATGCGTCCCCGGGACCCCCGGAAGCCGGGTCTGTGACGCACACGTGTATCCACACAGACGCGTGATTTACGTAGTATACCTTCATGCATTGTGTGCAGTAGCATCACACAGGTGTACCCAGGTCTGTGACGCCAACCCGAGGGCACCACAGCGGGGCGTGACACACACGTGTATCAGCAGACATTCATGCATTTGTGTGCAATAGCATCACGCCTGTCTATGAAAGGCACACGCGGGCAGACAGCATTTCCTCCCACGTCGGGACCCTGTGAGCCCTGCGGCCGGCAGTCTGTCAGCACCGCTTTTCCAGCAGTGCGGTGGTCGCCAGCATCTTTTAGCAAAATACTGTGCTAATGTGTGAGCTTCCTCAGCCCTGGTGCCGCGGCGCGACGCTGTCATGCGAACATAGCTCCCGCGCACGTTGGGAACCGGTAGTGTTGCAAGGTTTGCTTTATGTGGGGGTCTGGACGGGACCCCTGTGTCTCTGAGGGAGGCCTGGAAGTAATGGTTGTGCACTACTGAGCTGCCCGGCCCCGCGCCCTGGGCGCCCCTCCAGCACTGCCCGCCCGAGGGCCAGCGGGCCAGGCCTGCCGGGGCCTTCACTCTGCTCGCTGGACAGCTGGCCGTGGCTTTCTGATCTCGGCAGGTGCTTCTGTCTCAGACGCTTCCTGATCTCACTCTGCCCGCTGCATCTCTGTATTTCTTGAAAGAAGAGTGATTTCTTTTAAACATTTTATTTCTTTATTTGAGAGGCAGAGTTACAGACAGAGAAAGAGACAGATGAGGAGAGGTCTTCCATCTGCTGGTTCACTCCCCAGATGGCCTCAACGGTCGGAGCTGGGCCACACCAAAGCCAGGAGCCAGGAGCTGCTTCTGGGTCTCCCACGCAGGTGCAGGGGCCCAAGGACTTGGGGCACCCTCCACTGCTTTCCCAGGCCACAGCAGAGAGCTGGATCGGAAGAGGAGCAGCCGGGACTAGAACCAGTGCCCATATGGGACGCCGGTGCTGCAGGCGGAAGCTTAACCCGCTGCACCCTAGCACCAGTCCCCAAAAAGAGTGATTGCGTAACGGTCATCCCTCAAGGGTTAGAATTCCATTAAAAAGGCACGTACGCTGGGGCTGACATTGTGGTGCAATGGGTCAAGCTACAGCCTAGGACGCTGGAATCCCATATCAGAACCTGGGTTGGAGTCCCGGCTGCTCCACTTCCCATCCAGCTCCCTGCTAATGCACCTGGGAAAGCAGCGGGAGGCAGCCCAAGTGCTTGGACCCTGCACTCACGTGGGAGGCCTGGAAGAGGCTCCTGGCTTCCGCCTGGCCCAGCCCTGGTCATTGCTGTCGTTTGGGGAGTGAACCAGCGGAAGGAAGACCTGTCTCCCTGTCCCCCCCCCCCCAACTCTGTAACTCTGCCTTTACAAGAGAAAGAGGCACGCACGCTCTGCCGATCACCGAGTCGTTTGCAGAGAGAGGGACCCAAGGGTAACGCAGACTGGTTGCCGTCACTCACCTCATCCTCGGATAGGTAAGGGGGCGGCGGCTGCCCTCCGGGGGCCCTCGCTCAGCCGGGCCCCGGGAGTTGGCTGGGGCTTTCACGCGAGGACCAGGATCTCCACAAGGCAGGCGTTGCTTTGTTTTACACAGGGAAATTCCTGAAATGCTCTTCAGAATCCAACAGGACCGGCGTCCCCCCGTCAGCAGACAGGTCCCCGCTCCCCCAGCGGAGGCTGAGCTGCCCAGCAGGTGCGGGCCCGGTCAGGTGAGGCGGCCACAGGCACGCAGAGTCCTGTCCCCGCATCAGGACCACGCGGGGCACACGGCAGGGGACGTGGTGCCGTCGCTGCTGCTGGCCGTGTTCCGTGTGCTCCCGCGTGTTGTGGTTTGTGCAGATTCTCAGAGTCAGCGCGGAGAGCCGAGCTCGGCCGGCAGGCAGGTGAGCGCCGGGCCTGGTGTCAGGGCCAGCCGGGAGGCGCCGCAGCAGTGTTCAGCTTGCTGCAGCGTTTGGACAAGTGTTCTTTCCTGGATTTAGGTGGAAGCGCAGCAGAACGGAAGTGGTGGTCTGTGGGCGTCGGGTGCAGCTGGATTTTTGAGGAATTCACAGGAGCCACACCCACACGGCTGTCCAGGTCCTGAAGCTGCGTCCAGTGCTGTTTAAAACCGCGCAGTAGATCAGGAACAGCCGGTTCCTGGCCGCCCGCCGCTGCCCGCCTGCTCCCGGTGTGGCTCCTGCGAGAGTCCTGACTCCTGAGAACGGGCTCTCCCGCAGAACCCGGGCTGCGTGCCGTCTGTCCACACACTTCTGCGGCCCTGAGAGGGTGGGACGGCCGTTCTCCTGGCTCAGCAGCGCGCCGGCGTCTCGTTCTCCCACGATGGATTTCTCAGGCTCGGATGAATGGCGGCTGGGCGGCCGGCAGACCCGGTTCTGTTCTGGTGGCCGGGAGGCCCCAGGGGTTTGCACAGGAAGTGGGCGTGGGGGCAGAGGAGCCGAGTACCTGACCCGTGGTGACGGGATGGGATTGGCTGCGAGCTGTGTGTCAACACCACCTTTGGTCCCTGCACCTTAGTGGTTCTCTATTTGCAAAGTGATGTTGCCTCATTGTGTGCTGGATTCACACCATGAAAAGGGAAAGCCTCACCCACCCAGCAGGAGATGGGGCCCTCAGCCCCACCAGGAAGCCTAACGCCTGCTCTTTGCTACCGTGATGAAATGCCTGAGGCTGGGGCTGGCACTGTGGCGTAGTAGGTTAAGCCTCCACCTGCGGCACTGGCATCCCAGATGGGCACCTGTTCAAGTCCCGGCTGCTCCACTTCTGATCCAGCTCCCTGCTAATGGTCTGGGGAAGCAGGGGAAGACAGCCCAAGTCCTGGGCCCCTGCACTTGCGTGGGGGCCCAGGAAGAAGCTCCTGGCTCCTGGCTTTGGAGCCACCCAGCTCTGGCCATTGTAGCCATTTGGGGAGTGAACCAGTGAATGGAACCGTTCTCTCTCTCTCTCTCTCTCCCTCTCCCTCCCCCTCCCCCTCCCCTCCCCCTCTCCCCCTTCCCCCCCTTTGCGTCTCAAATAAATAAATCTTTATTTTAAAAAAAGAAAAGAAAAAACAGGCTCATTGAGCTGAGGGCCCTGGAGGCCTGAGGGCCCAGGCCAGGTGCAGCGGTGGGAGAGCGGGCGTGCACCTGCGTGCATCTTCCGGTCTCCTCTGGGGACTCAAATGCAGGACTCCACGTGAGGATGCAGGTGGTGCTCCCCTCCCGAGGGCCCCACCCATGACATCCACACCCTCAGGGCCTCTGGGGGGAGTGGACGCCAGCAGGGCCCTTGGAGCCCCGTGAGTGAGCGTCCTCAGGGGAGCGGACACAGCCATGGCCGGGGGGAGGCGCCGTGCCCTTCGTTGTCTCCACTTCTCTCATCTGTCCCTCTCTCTGTTGTCTGACGAAGGGACCACCTGGAGGCCGCGGGCCACGTCTGCGTTCTCAGAGATGCCTTTGACTTTGAGAGCCCGGCTGACGTCGCCGACCTCATCATGGCCGAGAACGTGGAGGCGGCGCTGGCGCTGCACCTGTACAGGGGCGGCCGACTCCTGCAAGGTAACCCCCCCCCCCCCAGCCAGGAATGCACTCGCGTGGTGGCTCAGAAGTGAGAAGAGCACAGCGACCTCTCTGGTCTGCGTTTCTTCCTGAGCTGTGCAGGGGTGCAGGCGGACGGGGACGTGCCCTGGAGCATCTGGGACGGGCATTGTGGTGTAGCGGATAAAGCCACCGCCTCTGGTGCCGGCAGCCCCTGTGAGCGTTGCTTAGAGTCCCGGCTGCTCCACTTCCAATCCAGCTCCCTGCTGGGGCCTGGGAAAGCAGCAGAGGGTGGCCCAGGTCTCTGGGCCCCTGCACCCACTTGGGATGCAGGATGGAGTTCCTGGCTCCGGGCTTCGGCCTGGCCCAGCCCTAGCCCTGGCCATTTCAGCTATTTGGGGAGTGAACCAGCAGATGGAAGACCTCTCTCTTCTCTCTCTCTCTCTCTCTGCCTCTGTCTGCATTTCAAATACATTAATAAATTTTAAAAAGCAAAGTGACCCTTTCTCTCACCTCCCGGTCTCACTGCCTCATTTCTCAGCCCTGGAGCGGCCGCAGTTGCCGTCTGCTTCTCCCACAAGGATCTCCTCCGCGCGGTGTTGGTTATGCTACGGCAGAACAAAGCATCCGGCACTCAGGTGCCCACATCTGAACACGTGCAGCGTCCAGCAGCACCCGTGGGTTCGCAGGGGCTCCTGGGGCTGTGGTCACCTCGCGGGGACGGCTGCAGAGGACCCGATGCCCGCCCACTCAGCCAAGGGCAGGAGCCCTCGGTACGGGTCGGTCAAGGGTGGTGGCTGACTCCCCCCAGGGAGGTACCCCAGAGAGAGGAAACCAGGGGCCACTTTGTCTATTACGAGCGGCCTTGGAACTCCCACAGCACTGATTCCTCAGCAGCCCGTGGGCCGCTCGAGCGGCACTGCGCACTGTGTGTGTCTGTGTGCATGCGTGTGCACATGGAGTGTGACTGCAAGGAGACCGCCTGCCACAATGCACCCACACACACGTTTGTGTGGCCTCCTTCCCTTCACTTAAACAAGGACAAAGTGGGAAGGCTTCAAACATGCATGCTCACTCTAGCTTTTCCCACCCTAACAGCACCCCCGGGAAGCGTGTTCCCCGTGGTCCCCCCAGTGTCCGCGGTGGGTGGATGTGGGACCCCGAAACCCGCAGGTGCTCAGGTGCCTTTTCTGAAGCGGCCTGGAGCCTGTGCTGCCCCTCCCAGGTCCTCCCCATCACGTCTGGGTCACCTGTCCCGCCTGGCAAAGCACGCGTGTGTAAACGGTCACGTGTGTAAACAGTCATGTGTGTAAACAGTTGCAGTGCTGCCTTGTTTTGGAGATAGCGACAAGAAAGCGTTCTGTCATGTCCCGCACACACGCACCGCGGGTCTTCTGAGCGCATCTGTATTGTGCTGGGGTACAGGCAGAGTCCGAGGCTATCCCAGAGGCTGGGCCAACCTCACACCCTCCTGTCACTCAGCAGGAACCCTCAGATCACCGCCGGCTGCTGGAGCCGTCCGGGCTGATCAGCGCTCGGCGTGGGGAGTTTGGATCGCGAGATGCATCATTGCTTTAAAATTGATGGGACATGTTTTACACACACAGGTGGAGTCTACTGTCTACTTCTTTGTTGTTGTTGTTGTTGAAGGTTTATTTATTTGAAAAATCAGATAAGAGAGAGACAGAGAGAAAGATAGTTTTCATTCGCTGGTTCACTCCCCAGGTGGCTGCAACAGCTGGGGCTGGGCCAGGCTGAAGCCAGGGGACCGGGACGCCATCCGAGTCTCCCACATGGGTAACAGGGGCCCAGGCACTTGGTGAGTCATCTGCTGCCTCCCTGGGTACACTGACAAGAAGCTGGATAGGAAGTGGAGCAGCCGGGACTTGAACCGGCGCTCATGTGGGATGCACTGTGCTGCCATGCTGGCCCCATTCTGTATATTTCATCACGTGGCTTCGAGATCTTTCCAGATGTGCACAGCTGTGTGCACCTTCTCCTTCTGAACTTTGGTGTGGTACAGGTGGATGGCCCCTCTTATAAAATGCCTCGGACCAGACGTGTTTCAGGTTCAGAAGTTTCTGGATTTTTGAAATGTTTGCTTACGTGTGCGGAGAGATCTGAGGAATGGGATCCCAGGGTAGACACAGGATTTGCTATGTTTCTGTCTTTTTAAAAAAGATTTATTTACTTATTTGAAAGGCAGAGAAGGAGAGAGAGGGAGAGAGAGAGAGAGAGATGGGGGGAAGATCTTCTCTCCTCTGGTTCACTCCCTAGTGGCCACAACAGCTGGGGCTGGACCAGGCCAAAGCCAGGAGCCTGGAGCATCTTCTGGGTCTCCCATGTGGGTGCAGGGGCCCGAGTGCTTGGGCCATCTTCCACTGCTTTCCCAGGCCACAGCAGAGAGCTGGGTCGGAAGAGGAGCAGCTGGGACTCGAACCGGCACCCATATGGGATGCTGGCACCGCAGGAGGCAGCTTTACCCGCTATGTCAGAGCTCCAGCCCCAAGTTACCATTCTTGACCTCTGTTTCAGAGGAACACCAAGTCCTTGAGGGTTAGCTCTGCTTCTCCTGGGAGCTGTGGGATGCAGACACTCCACAGCACTCCTTGCCCGGGAGGCAGCTGTGTGGCTCCGTCTAACAAACGCCCAGAACTGAAGCAGCGCCACCCTGAGCAAGGCCGTTTCCATGTGTGCTGCTCCTCCTGGCTGTCTCCTGTACATAACAGCCCATGTTCCTTGAGGGATCTTCTTGGAGAGCGCAGGCTCGGGTAGCGTAGCCTGCGGAAGCTTCGGGGCTGTTGTTGGTGAGCATAGCTGCCACCGCGGCGGCTTCTCCCCCGAACCGACTCAACGCCCAGCTGCCCGGCTCGACTTTAAGTTGAGCGTAATCTTTCATTCGATGGATGCGTCATAAGTTTAGTTTTTAAAGATGTATTTATTTATTTGAAAGGCAGAGCAGCAGAGCAAAAGAGAGACAGAGAGATCGTCCGTCTGCTAGTTCAGTCCTCACATGCTGGGCCAGGAGCCGGGAACTCCATCCAGGTCTTCCACGTGGGTGCGGGGGCCCGAGTGCTTGGGCCATCTTCTGCAAGGTGCGTTAGCAGGGGCTGGATCAGCAGAGCCGCCAGGACTCGGCGCAGCGCTTCCATGTGGGATGCTGGCGTCGCAAGCGCTGGCTTAACCTGCACCCCCAGCCGCCCCTGCACTGTGAGTTTCGTAGGCAGGGCCTCCGTCGTTTCTTTTCTACATCACAGCTGCGCCCCCTCCCCCCGACCAGCTCTTGCTTGGAGACGTTGGTGTCGTGCGTGCCGCTCACGGCCCCAGCTGGTTCCTGGCTGGCACGGTGCCTGCTGCCTGTGGCCGAGCCACAGGGCTGAATCTGGGTGCCCCTTTCTGTTGGCACCTCCTGGGTCGCGCCCAGCGTCGTGCTCCGTGGTGATGCCGGGGCCGCTGCTCAGGAGAGCCGGTGGAACAGAACAGACCACCAAGCACCCGGTCCGCGCTCCTCCAGGAGCTTCGGTTTGGTCGTGGTTGGGGCGATTCGGCGAGGGGAGCCCCCGCCCAGTCCTGCTCCGTGGCTGTCCTGTTGCAGGTCACCGAGTCCCTTTCGGAATCATCTTTGGAGGAACCGATCTGAACGAAGACGCCAACCAGGAAGAGAAAAGCAGAGTCATGGGCCGCGTCCTCGAGGAGGCCAGGTACCGCTCACGGCGACTGCTCCAGGGCCAGACGGGAGGCGTCCGCGAGCGGGGGCCGGGGAGCGGCCGGGGCCACGCGGTACCAGGTACCGCTCACGGCGACTGCTCCAGGGCCAGACGGGAGGCGTCCGCGAGGGGGGGCCGGGGAGCGGCCGGTGCCACTTGGTGCCAGGTACCGCTCACGGCAACTGCTCCAGGGCCAGACGGGAGGCGTCCGCGAGCGGGGGCTGGGGAGCGGCCGGTGCCACGCGGTACCAGGTACTGCTCACGGCGACTGCTCCAGGGCCAGACGGGAGGCGTCCGCGAGCGGGGGCTGGGGAGCGGCCGGTGCCACGCGGTACCAGGTACTGCTCACGGCGACTGCTCCAGGGCCAGACGGGAGGCGTCCGCGAGGGGGGGCCGGGGAGCGGCCGGTGCCACTTGGTGCCAGGTACCGCTCACGGCGACTGCTCCAGGGCCAGACGGGAGGCGTCCGCGAGCGGGGGCTGGGGAGCGGCCGGTGCCACGCGGTACCAGGTACCGCTCACGGCGACTGCTCCAGGGCCAGACGGGAGGCGTCCGCGAGTGGGGGGCCGGGGAGCGGCCGGTGCCACGCGGTGCCAGGTACTGCTCATGGCGATTGCTCCAGGGCCAGATGGGAGGCGTCCGCGAGGGGGGGCTGGGGAGCGGCCGGGGCCACGCGGTGCCAGGGGCCCCGACGCCTTCCTTTCGCTTGGCTTTGTCACGGGCGGGCGTGGCGATGCCAGCACCTGTCTGCACGGGCAGTGGGTGTTGCGAGCGCGTATCTGGAAGAGACACAGTGGCTACTGTCTAGGCGCCCGTGACCCAGGACCCGTGCCAGCCCCCTGGAGTGCCCGGACTGGGGTCTGGTGTGCAGTCAGGTCTGCCCTGTCGGCTGCTCTGGGCGTGGCTCCGGCCCCTCCCGGGAACGGGCAGCTCCGTGTGCTGTGTGTGGTGTCGCTGCGGGTCTTTGGGACGGGGCATTTGTTGTGGGGGGTGGGGCCGCCACAGTGTTTCTAGCCTCGCCGTGGTGCGGGACGGAGCACACGCGGAAAATCAGTCATCCTCCACACACGGCCTTCCAGAGGGAGAAAAATAAAACCTCTCCATTTGCTTTGTGTAACAAATGTTGTGATGAGAATTAGAATAGGGACACCTGTGACAGGCGTCCTGCAGGGTCGCGTCCACGTTCAAGCGAACCTGGAAGAAGGAGACTCACGCGTGAACCTGAACAAGGCACTTTCCCGTGGACAGGTTGAGAGGAAAGCGGCAGGCTTCCGGGGGTTCCACAGCAAGGGCAGGGGCCTGTGCCGTGCGCCCCTCCCCCAGGCGACTGTCACACTTGTGTGAGAGCAAGCGCGTGCCACCCGCTGTCATTTCAACTCAAGGACAGAGCAGGCAATGGACTGTAACCCGGGCCGTCACCAACCACGGATTCCCATGGCTTGTGGATCGCCGTCCCAGGTTCTTCAAGTCTGTATGACCTACTAACGGGGACAGGACACCGGAGTCTGCTGTGCTTCGTAGCGTGTCGCCAGGCGTGTGCCCTCAGGACCGGGCGGGGAGGGGGCAGTGGGCAGTGGGCAGTCACCACCCCCCGGCACCCTGGCTCTTCCGGAGGACTTCACTTCCTGAGGGTGAATGTGGCATTTCGACACACATGTGTGCTTTGTGTAACACAGGTGTCACTATTTTAATTCTCATCACATTTGTTACACAAAGCACACTCACATGTGTGCACGTGTGTGCGCGTGTGTGCGCGTGTGTGCGTGTGGCACGGTGAAGCTCTTCGCGCACTTGGGGCTGCCGTTAAAGGGGTCACTGCAGGATTTCTCGGTGTTCTTGCGCTCTCCAGCGTGTGTGAGCTTAGATTTGTGTAGTTTGTGATGCACAGTCTGATACAAGGAAAATAATTCTGCTTACTGGGATGATATTGAACGAATCCATCTTGGAGGGTTATCATTAGTGTTACTCATTGCATTGTTATGAAAACAAATATTGACTTTACATGGGGGATTGTGGATGGGTTCAGTGGGCAGGAAGGCTGCCTGAACTCAGGTTTCCCGTCTGGCACTACCTGGCACACTCTCCCATCAGACAGAGTGTGGACTTGGTCTGGCGTTATAATGAGTGCTTCCATTTTAATCAGATACTTTTGAATAGTCACATTTTTCCTGCAAGGTATATTTTGAACACTTTTTAGGTTGTTAAACTTTTTTCCTGTGTAGTATAATATTCAAGCTATTTTAGCATCAGCTTTTTGGCTTATAGGAATTTGGCAATAATAAATATTAAAATTAAAGATCATTCTTAATTTTTTTTCGGTGTGAGAGGCAGAGACAGAGGGAGGCAGAGAGAAATCTTCCACTCACTGGTTCACCACCCCGTAGGGGAGCTGACAGCTCCATCCAGGTCTCCCCATGCGTGGCCGGGGCTCAGCGACCGAGGCGTCCCCGCTGCCGCCTGCGTTCGCCAGCAGGAAGCTGGGCCTGGGAACAGAAACAGGACTGAACCCCGCCCTTTGATACGGGATGCGGGTGGCTTAGCCTCCCAGCCACACGCCGCCCCTGGGCGCTGCCGCGAGGCGCCATCTGCCTGGTAAGCCAGGGCCGAGGAGCCGCGGCCCAGGGCCTGCCCCCTGCCGCCTGCCCCCTGCCCCCTGCCCCTGCCCCCTGCCGCCTGCCCCTGCCCCCTGTCCCTGCCCCCTGCCCCTGCCTCTGCCGCCTGCCCCCTGCCCCGTCCCTGCCCCCTGCTGCCTGCCCCCTGCCCCTTGTCCCCGGTCCCTGCCCCCTGCCCCTGCTCCTGCCCCCTGCCTCCTGCCTCCTGCCCCCTGCCCCCTGCCCCCTGCCCCTGCCCCCTGCCTCCTGCCCCCTGCCCCCTGTCCCTGCTCCCTGCCGCCTGCCCCCTGCCCCTGCCCCCTGCCGCCTGCCCCCTGCCCCCTGCCCCCTGCCCCCTGCCCCCTGCCACTGGAGCCCTGAAGGGGCCTGGCGAGAAGGCGGGCTTCACTCCAGTTCTCCCTGGCGGCTGCCGCGCCTTCTGCCCCGGGCTCCTTTGGGACGGAGCCTTCCACGTCCCCTCTTCCCGCCTTCCTGCCCCTGGTCACGCTGGAGCATCTCTCGAAGCCAGGACGCCTGCTCCCTCTCCCACAGCCTCAGCGCCTGGGCTCTAGGGCTGGGCTCCTGCACTTTGCTCCGTTCCTCACTTGGATCTGCTGTGTGTGCATTTCATTCTTTGAAGGTTTATTTATCTACTTATATTTATTCGAGGGAGAGAGAGAGAGAGAGAATCTTCATCTATTGGTCCACTTTCCAAATCCCCACATCTAGGGCAGGGCCAGGCTGCAGCTGGGAGCCAGGAGCTCCGTCTGGGTCTCCCATGTGGGCGGCAGGGACCCCAGTGGCTGAGCCACCACTGCTGCCTCCCAGGGTGTTGGACGCTGGATCAGAAGTGAAGCCAAGAGCCAGCTCTGCCGCTCTGAGGTGGGGGACGGCTGCTGCATTGGAGGTTGGGCTGCTGTTGTAATGCCTGCCCCTCCTGTAGACTTCAAGGGACAACTTTCTGGGGCCCTTGCTGTGGCACAGCGGGTTAAAGCCCCAGCCTGCAGGCACTGGCATCCCATAGGGGCACCATGTTCCAGTCCTGGCTGCTCTACTTCCTATCCAGCTCCCTGCTGATGGCCTGGGAAAGCAGAAGATGGCCCAAGTGCCACCCACGTGGGAGGCTGGAAGAAGCTCCAGGCCCAGCCCTGGCCGTTGCATCCATCTGGGGAGCGAACCAGCAGATGGAAGATTGCTCCCTCCGTCTCTCCATCTCTGTGTAACGCTGACTTTCCAATAAATAAATCTTTTAAAAAAAGAGACCGCTTTCTCTTCCTTCGTTTGATCCTTTGTGGATCCAGCTCAGCTGATACAAGGGGAATTCAAGACGACCGTGGAAAACTGGAATTGAAGACCCGTGGAATCGGATGCGAGCATTGTGAAGTCCATTGTAATTTCTTCATGACGTGTGCTTCCCGCGAACTGGCGAGGGCTCATCATTTTCCCTGGACACTTTGAAGTAGCCTCGTGGGTGCTGGGGACGGAAGTGTGGATGTAGCCGGGTCCCAGCGTGCGTGGAGCTGGCGCTGCCATCGGCTGCCGGGGCACCAAGCACGCTCGCTGGACCAGTGGGTTTCACCCTCTCTGACAGCCGTCCCCAGGGCAGCCGGGAGTGAGTCTGTCAGCGCTGCCCTGGGTCAGGACGCGGGGCGGGGTCTTCCTGCCGTGGCGGGTCCACAGCTGCCCTGCTCCTCTGGGTCTCTGGCTTTCTGTTCCGTGGCTACGTGGGGTGGCCCAGCGTCAGGAAGAATCCCGGTCGTGTGTGAGTTCTGGTAGACAAGAGTCACCTGTCAAGGGTGGGCCGGATACCCTGGCAGAAGACTTCCTGGCTCGGGGCCTGCATCGCTGGATTCTGGAGTGGTGCCCCCGCAGGCCTCCGCAGAGAAGCCCAGGCTGAGTCTGATTCCCCAGGGTGCACTTTGTTTATTTCCGGGCATTCGGTTGCTGGTGTGTTGTGTTGGGTCTGGGGACAGACGGAGAAGCCCTCATCATGGAAGCCGGTGGACAGCTCCTGCCCGCCCGGCCTTCCTTCCGCATCTCCTGCGTCTGGCACGGGTTCATGGAGATGTGCTCAAGTGCAAGTGCAGGTGTGTCCTGCCCCTCCCCCACCACAGCTGTCCTCCCGCCCAGGTGGGGTGGGAGGAGTGAGGGAAGGAAGAGCTAGGGTCAGAGAGACACAGCCAGGCAGGGAGCGCGAGGAGGGAGGAGCCCGCCCTTCCGTCGCTCCTGGGGAGGACTGGCCCTTCCAGACTCCGCGTGGGCTCGTCCGTCCTGCAGGCTTGGCCCAGGAGTGGTTTCGGTTTCTGCTATGCCTAGGGAGGAGTCACTCCATTTGCTCCTTCAAGCAGTACCCGGGTACTTATTCTGCTCTCCCCTTGGAGGATCCATGGCCGCTGTGGCTTTTCCCGGTGCTCGATGGTCCCAGGCGCCGCCCGCAGATCATGGAGGTGACGCCCTTGCCACGTCTGAGCGTGGCGGCCGCTCCGTACGGGGGCCTGGCTGGTGTCTCCGTTTGCTTAAGCGCCTGCCCGACGTCCCGCTGTTACGCTCTCACCTCTGGTCTGGGTCTGGTTTTGCCCTCCCTGTCTTGCGCTGCCGCTGTCAACATTAGCGTGGTTGTTACAGGTTTGGTGGGTGTTGATGTCTGCTACTGAAGCTCTCAGGTCTTCAACAGTTTTTCCGGCTTGTTACCCCTGATTCGCGCAGACCAACTTACAACGATCTCAAATTCCACTGGAATCCCTTTGTGGATTTTGTTTGAACTATGATCAGACTTGTGTCTGAATTTGGTAAAAGCAAACCTGCGATGGTACTGCGTCTTCCCGCCTGTGACCGTGGTGTACAATGTCATCGCATCGATGGGCCCCTGTCAGTCCTCCTGTACCTCATGACAACCACAGTCTTGACATACAGCTTAGCTCCGGAGTCTTTTGTGCACGTGCCGAGGAAGCTACAAATCCTTACCGGTACTGACGTGTAGACGTGGCGCCCGTGTGGATGGGCGGGGCTCTCACGCCGTCGCCATATTGAAGTGTGGTCTGGGACGCCCGGCTCCCAGGTACAGCCTGCTTGTCTTCCTGCCTCGACTGGTGGAGAGGACGGCCCGCCCTCGAGTGCTCGGCTGGGGTTCACCAAATCCCTGGTCTCTCCCCTGCGTCCGTCTGCCCGTTTCTCTGGCCCTGCCTGGCCCTGGAAGCAACAAGACAAACAGGAAGTTCTGGGCTCCACTTGGGTTGGCTTCTTGCATACACAACTCTTTTTGGTGTGAGCAGAGATCAAGCCTGATGGCCAGTGACGGCGGGGAATGACAGTCGATGGCCCTGTAAATGCAGCGCCGTCCCCCATCACCGTCTGTCCCACAGAGCTGTGTCGTAGTTAGGTGAACCGAGCTCTGGCCTAACTGTTTCCATTGTTGTTCGTTTCCTAGGTTTGCTGTCGCCTTCACGGAGCCCATGAAGGAGATGGCGCAAAGGCAGTGGGTACGTGTTCATCTCCTGGTGCTGCTCTGGTTGTGCTGTGAGACTGTGCAGTCGGGGGAGGGAGACGGCGTCCTATCAGAGCCGACAGCGCTCCCACTGCCGTGTCCCTCGTAGCCGCCAGGGTGTGTTACGCTTCCGTGTGCTGGTTTTTGTGTGTTCGAGGTGATTTTCAAGCATCACTGATACTCTGAAGTGATTGGGTGACAAAAATAGCCCAACAGTCAAATCCGTCCACGTTTTGTCTGCTTTGCCTTTATGCCCCCAGATCAAGTGGCCTGCAGGCTGCCCACGGCCAACGCTGCGGCAGCCTCGCGCCCTCAGCCGCCGTCTCTTAAATGGCGGAGGTGGTCTAGGTCGGACCGTCCAGCGGAAGGGCTTTGCGAGCCTGCAACGCACTTCACTGGCTGACCTTTGTGTGCACTGGGACGTGGGGGGCAGGTGGGAGGGGCTGCAGACTCTCCCCGAGTCCCCGGCTGGGGACTGGTTTCCTCTCCTGTCTGACGGACCTGCCCTGAGCCCGTGTCCCTGGCGCTGTCCGTCCTGTGCTCCGCCAGCTCACGGGTTGAGTCCAGCGCCCCTCGTCGGCGGGTGTAGTTCCCGCTGGTGGGATCTTACAGGCTATGCCCGTCCTTTATAGAATCTCAATTTGCAAAATGTAGCACTCGGAGACTGCTGCCCTGGGACCAGGGCAGGGCGCGGTGGTCTGGGGCTGGCTGTCTCTTCCTGATGCTCCATGGGAGACCCCGGGCCACGGGTGCGACAGCTGTCCTGGGACAGGGCAGGGCGCGGTGGTCTGGGGCCGGCTGTCTCTTCCTGATGCTCCGTGTGAGACCCCGGGCCACGGGTGCGACAGCTGCCCTGGGACAAGAGCAGGGCGCGGTGGTCTGGGGCTGGCTGTCTTCCCGATGCTCGGAGCGCGAGCCCCGTGTGGGACCCCCAGGGCCGTGGGCGCCTCTTTATCCTTCATGTCAGCTGTAGGCCCTGGCGGGGAACGGAGGCTCCCCATCTCAGGGCTGCTCGGTGGTTGGTTGTCGACCTCGGAGCGGGAGAGCACACACACGAGCACACCGGCTTCTCCTTTACTGTTGCTCATCTAAACCCGGTTTCCCGGAGCGGGCACCACGGACCTCGGGCTGTCTCTGGGACCCTCTGAGAACCCTCGCAAGGCCAGGCTTAGTCTCCGAGGGACGCAGGCGTCTTTTGCCCTCTGCACTCGCTGAGAAGCAGTGGTGAGCGGCCGCTCCCGGAGGCCGTGCTGCTGGGCTGCCGCTTGCGCTGTTGGTCCCTGGTCACTCACTGCCCCCAGCACAGCCCGTTCCACTTGACCGTGTCCTCAGTCACACTGTGCCAGGCGCTCACCTTCCAGGCATTGGCTCTGCGTGCCTGTGTTTAAAAGATTCTCCGTGCGTACGGCACTTGCTCCGCACACTGAGCCACACGGACGGCTGTCGTGGGAAGCAGTCTTGTGAAAGGGCCCTGGGGTGACCGCTGAGCCCTGAGGTGGCCTGGCCACGGACAGACCAACTGCAGTCATCCGGACGTGGGCCTTGGCCGGCACTCTCATAAAGCTGAGCGGATGGTGCTGGCAACGCGTGCTGCCCGTGGCAGAGCTGGGTCTCTCCAGCCAGAGCTGGAATTTTGGAAAATCAGCCAGAGGCTGTCGCTGGGAAGACGAGGTGCGGACGCCGTCCTGATGAGGTCGCTGGTGGTGTGGACAAACGCGATGTCTTTGATGTTACGTCACCGCAGATTTCCACGTGGGGAGGCCCGATGACTCAGCGAACCAGTCTTTTTAAGTGAAAAAAAAACAAAAACAAAAAACTAAGAAAGTGCTGGATTGATGTTAGTTAACCTCCTAACGTGGTTGAAACGTGGCTTTCTTGCCATAAAAACTACCTGAGAAGTTAAGCTGTATGTAAGCTGGAAAAAAAGGCACAGCACCACAGGGTGTGGATGGTGGGGGGGCCTGTGAGGGTGCAGAGTGTGGGTGGTGGGGGCCCTGTGAGGGTGCAGAGTGTGGATTGGGGGGGGCCCTGTGAGGGTGCAGGTCGTTTCAGGGAGCAGCCACCCCTAGTCTTCCTGGCCCCAGCGATGCTAACGTTTCTCACCTTCCTCCCACTGGGGTCGCGTGCAGCTGGAGGGAGTGGCGAGATGGGCCGTGAGCGCATCCCCACTGTGCACCACCCTCGTCCTGCGCCAGCCGCCTTTGCTCTGGGAGGGAGCCTCTTCCAAATCCATCTTAAAGCTTCACGAAAAAAAATGAGAAAGCAGTGAAATGTTTCTGTCCGGGTCTGTGAGCGCCGCGGTGAAGGAGCTGATGAAGCAGGCGTGCGTTTGCTCCTCTGATTCGCGGGGCGGGAGCTGGTTGACTGATGCGAAGCTGCTCTTGGTGCGCCTTTCCTGCCCCTCTGCTGGGCGATGCTTCAGTAGCGTTCGGTTCAATGCTCTCGCTTGATTATTGTTGCAAATAAAATATGTACAAGCAATGTAACGCGTCATTGTTCACCCGCATTTGTCATTACATGAATTTTTATGATGATGTAACTATGTAATTATTATATAGATTTCAGATGGATTTTTGTAGGGAGACCACTTTCATTCAGATACTCTGGAGAGTGACACGGCTTCGAGAGGCTACATCTTGTTCTTCAGTACAGAACTGCCGGTCTGGGCTTCTAATTTTCTGTTCTCTTTTTGGGAGGGCAGGCTCGGCCGGGGCTGTGCTCTCATTAATCCTCCCCAGTTGCTGTCCAGCCAGGATTGACGTTCCGTCTCAAAGCTCAGCGAGACTCACGGCACTTGCTTCTTGTTGTTGTGGTTGCAAAGGGAGAATCCACGTGTGCGCGGGGTCTGTGGAGCTGGGTGGGGTTTTGAGCATAAAATCTAGTCTGAGACCTGTGATTTCTCAGACTTCACTTATGGTAATCGAGGGAAACACAAAGACACACACACACACATAGACACACACAGACACACAGACACACATAGACACAGACACACAAACACAGACACACATAGACACATATTGACACATAGACACACATAGACACATAGACACAGACACACATAGACACAGACACACACAGACACACATAGACACACAGACACACACATAGACACACAGACACACAGACACACATAGACACAGACACACACACATTGACACATAGACACATACACACAGACACACATAGACACACATACACACAGACACACAGACACACACAAACACACATAGACACACATACACACACATTGACACATAGACACACATACACACATAGACGCACACACACATACATACACACACATTGACAGAGACACACATAGACACACACATACTGACACATAGACACACATACATACATACACACATTGACAGACACACAGACAGACACACACATAGACACACAGGCACACATAGACACATACACATATGCACACATACACACATTGACACACATAGACACATAGACACAGACACACATACACACATAGACACATACACACATATACACGTAGGCACACATTGACACATACACACATATACACACAGACACACATACACACATTGACACACATAGATACACATACACACAGATACACATAGGCACACAGACACACATGCACACAGACACACATATACACATACACACAGACACACAGACACACATACACACATAGGCACACAGACACACAGACACATAGACACACACATAGACACACATACACACGTAGACACACATAGACACATACACACATTGAAACACAGACACACATATACACATACACACACAGACACACATTGAAACATAGACACACATAGATACATACACACATAGACACATACACACAGATACACATACACACAGACACACATATACACATAGGCACACATACACACATTGACACACACACACAGACACACACGCACACACACAGACACACACGCACACACACATGCACACATGCACTTTCAATGCCACTGCTGTCTAACAGACACAGCGTCCGAGCCACAAACACGAGCCAAGCCGCACGTTGAAGTTGCGCAGGAGCTGCGTTTAAAGGAGAGACTAGGAACAAGCGCAGTGAACTTCAGTGTCGTGTGTTGCGTGACCTACTGCCGGGGTTAGCAGCCCAGGACAGGACTCGGTGCGGCCCCGGGCTGCCCTCACCCTGACGCCTGCTGACGGTCAGGTGCTCCTCACCCCAGCCCTGCCTCCCCACTGGCACTCAAGGTTAAGGTTTACTGCGGTTGGGGGATGGGTGGAGCTCAAAGGCGGGGAGTTTGCCGTCCCCCGAGCCCTCTTCCGTTCCTGTCTGTGACGTGTGTGGGGTGTGGCCAGCCCCTTGTCTGGAGTTCTCGCTGGAGCTTCCTTACCCAGGCCCAGGGGACTGATGGCCTTCATCCTGCAGCTCAACCACCAGACGCACGGCACCCTGCAAGCCACGCCGTCAGCCTCAGGCACAGAGCCGGTCTTCCTGGCGTGGCCAGCCCGCCCTGAGACCCAGTGTGGCTGGCTGAGAAAGTGCCAGGAGTTCTCTCTGGACGGCTGAGAAAGCTCAGGTCTGCGCTCGGAACAGGATCTGGGAGGCTGTGTTCATGGCTGCCTCGCTCTGGCTAGCTCTGCACTAGTTAGCTTGATTGGATTTCTTTTCTTTTTTTTTTTAATTTGACAGGTAGAGTTATAGACAGTGAGAGAGAGAGAGAGAGAGATAGAAAGGTCTTCCTTCCGTTGGTTCACTCCCCGAATGGCTGCCATGGCCTGAGCTACGCCGGTCCAAAGCCAGGAGCCAGGTGCTTCTCCTGGTCTCCCATGTGGGTGCAGGGCCCAAGCACCTGGGCCATCCTCCACTGCCTTCCCGGGCCACAGCAGAGAGCTGGACTGGAAGAGGAGGAACCGGGACTAGAACCTGGCACCCATATGGGATGGCGCCGCAGGCGGAGGATTAACCGAGTGAGCCACGGCGCCGGCCCCTGATTGGATTTCAGTGAGGAT